TGACGTATTTCTCGGACAAAGTATTTCTTTTAACTTTTTTACAAGATTTACATATATATACTCTGTAGAAATAAATGAATATCTATTTATATATCTATCATGATATTGTTAGCATAAATTAAAAGGAAAAGTGGTCCAAATGAACAGCCCTATTTAGTTTGATTGACTTGCTCAAGATTTGATACCTATCAAATCTAAACTTTCATTCACATCTTCTCTTCCTTCTGTAAAAAGCTTGTATCACTTGTAAACATTTTTCTGACTCAGAGTAAAATCACCGTATGCCACAGTCAACATATCAAGTGTTTTTGAGCACTTAATTCCATATTTTACACAAAATTTGATGCAAATTCTTTGATACATTTTTTTCTATAACAGAAAATCGGTGAAGACGCAATTCTAACTTTTATGCCTCTTATAACAAACTAAACATGCTAAACAGCTGAAGCTGTTCAAGACTAGTGTACCAAGATTTAAAAAAACTCTAATCGAATGTACGTAACCCGTGAAATTTTAATATTTACCTTATTTTTTTTAACAGATCTGTTGAATCTTATACCATCACTTTTGAGCAATTCATGACGCTAACCGATCTCGCTTAAAGCACTGTGTTCTAAATTAAGTTTTATTTTTTCAGAACCTCCGACAGATAAAAAGGTGAGAGTGAAGACTCCAAAAACGAAAACGTTCAAAACACAAACTGGAGAATTATCAACATTGCCCAATGCCAATGTCACTGTGAGACCTACAGGCGAAGTTATTGTCAAAAAAATATCTAGTGATCGTGAGGCATCTGAAAATATAACATCTGAAAATATAACAGATGAGGATATTATCAAAGCAAATAAGGAAGACGCTGAAAATCTTGACAATGTGATAAAAAGTGGGGTAATCAAAAATAAACACTGAAAACGTCAAGGGTCCTAAAATACTTCCCTGCGGTACACCTGAGATTGTTTATTTTAGGAATGATCATGAGTAATGCTGTAGTAATGAATATTACAACACCAAACCGTTATTTTAACACCTCGACAAATATTTCGATGACTAAGTGATCATCTTCAAGGGGGAGATTAACCTTCTTGCTCTCGAAGATCACTTGGTGCTCGAAACACGTGTCGAGGTGTTGAAATAACGGTTTGGTGTTGGGATGAAACTCCCAGTGATATTCATGCCAGAAGTAGTCCATAAAATACATAGATGAAGTTATATGAGGCATCATTCGTAGAAACGATTTCAATTGTGGAAAAACAAAAATTAGTAATGGAGAACTTTATGCTGGTGTAGGAAGAGCAAACTTCTTTATCAGTAACTTGTATTTAATGAGGTGGCCTATCAAAAAAAAATTAAATAATTTTAGAATGTATTTTTGGGAAAGAAATGTTTTACTTTCTACTTCTCCATTTTTATTTATTTATTCATTTCTTCAACAAGTAACCCCCAATTTTTATACAATGTATTAACCTTAGAAAGTTAACTATTCTAGTATCTATATATCTAATAAATCAACCTACATAGAGAACATTAAAATAAAATTGTTATAAAAAAATTGTCCTATAAATATATACCACGTAGAGTATATTTAAGAGTGCTCTGAGAGATGTGAAAGAATCAATATTGGTCCCATTGGCATTTGATAGAATTCTGAACACAGGGGAATGTTTTCCATAATTACACCTATGAAAGTCGAGACTGAAAGTTTGGTTGTTACATGTCCTCCTCGGGGAACATGCAGATTGACCTGACAGAAGAGTTGGGCAATTAATTTCGTTATTCAATAACTTATGTAGGAATATTATGTCTGCATGTGTCCGTCTTGCACTGAGTTTGAGCAATCCAATAGTAGAGCAAATTCCAAAGAGCGAGTGACTCCTAGCTGGCATGTTCATTTTGTAGGCAACATATCTAAGAAATTTATTCTGAACTTTCTCAATATCATAACTGTGGTTGAAGTAAGTTGGAGACCAGATACAAGTGCAATACACAATCACTGATCTAACTAATGCAAAGTACAGTAATTTGATAGAAAAAATATTGATAAAATCTTCAGTTGATCTGCACATGAATATGAATCCTAATATTTTCATCGCTTTGTTAGATATGTGTCCATCTTGTCCTCCATCATAACACCCAGATGTCGTATAGATTGTGCACATTCCAACTTCTTCCCTGCAATACTATAACCAGCCGTATAAAGGTTCAATGACTTAGAAAAGGAAATACTTTTACATTTTGCCACACTGACATTCATATAATTCATCTTACACCAATCAGAAAAAGATTTAAGGTCCATTTGAATTTTCGCACAATCATGCCAATGAATCTATTGCTCTAAAAATTTTTAGATCGTCTGCAAACATCAGTACTTCACAGTGAGTAATTTTTTCTTTGATATCATTCACAAAGATATTGAAGAGAAAAGGTCCCAAGTGACTCCCTTGAGGTACTCCTGAGGTAACAGATATCTCGTGAGAGATAAATCCTTTAATTTTTGCAAACTGTGATCTATCACAAAGATAACTTGAGAACCAGTCCAACAAACTCTCAAAAATTGCTTTTAATTTTTCACAAAGAACTTTATGGTTCACAATGTCAAATGCGTTTGAAAAATCGGTGTAAATTACGTACACTTGTTTATTTTCCAGAGCATTCAAAATATACTGGGTGTACAACAGTAGATTAGTATTCGTAGATTTACCTTCACTAAATCCGTGCTGTTCATTGATAATCACTTGTTTTAAAGGAATCTTTATATTATCACAAACGATGTGTTTATACAAAAAAACCTGGGAATCTTCTGAAGCAAATAATTCCAAAATAAACTCTTTACAAAGATGTGTTGATAAAACCAAAAGTAACTCAAACACGGAAAAAAATATTCATTTCCCCCAACGTACCTACATAGTAGGTTCTGCTAAATGCCTGCCGGAAAACAACTAGTTCCCTGGCTTATAACACGCTCGACATTGAGTAATATGCAACAGACATTCATGCAAGATACTTCACCGAGATTAGTCCCGCAGATGTTTCTCATTGATCCAGCAGCAGGACCATGCTGAAATCGATCAAGTAGATCAGCTACATATCGTTTTTGAAGTATCCACAGAGATTTGCAGCTGCCTTCCATTCAGCAGTCCATTCAGTCGAGGAATCGGCGAGTTTTTGATAGCGCGGAAACTCACGAAAATCCGTTAGTTAGGGAAGCTATAGATTATACTGTAGGCGACCCTTCCCAATATAGAAGGCCCCGACACTCTATCGAATGAGACCCTCATGTCCCCCCGGACGAACAAATTTTTCATCCCTCCCACTCCAGCCAAGCAGAGGTACACCGCGAAGGGCGGTAGTGAACCTATTTGTCCTTCTGACAAAAATCGACCACAAGGGTAAGGGAGCTAGGGTCCAACCTGACTGAATTGAAGATGCTTGGTGAAACTCCAGACATCACCAGAAGATGGCAAATGAGACTTTGCCGAAACGTTGCGAGAATAATCCTTATGAGGATAAAATACACAGAACACGGAGCAAAACCCGAGAAAACAGCTCATCATACTTTATCCGTGAGAATCTTCGAGTTAATATATATGTATATATGTTTATGTTTATGATGAGTGATGAAAATTTGCAGCTTTGTCAATAAGACCTAACGTTCTTTGGGCAATAAAGCATATTATTATTATAGGAAACTTATCATACTATACTCACAATTGAAAATCGTAAATGTATGTAAATGTAATTTTTTACCATTTATTTACTGTAGAACTCCTGTGAAAGATACCTGTTTTTATTCCATAACGAATGTTTGGAATACAAACTGAGTAGAGAGTAGTGTCTTCTGTATAATTCAGTGTTCATATAAAAGTATTTGTTTCGAAAGAATTTTGCTTTCGTGTAATTCAATTTTTATATGAAAGAAGCTGTTTCAGGAGGGCTTTTTCTTACTGTTTGTGTCTAAAAGTTACTTCTTTGCATGATCTATACATCCTTGTCTAGAGTTACTTATTTTAAAATTGATTACTTCCTTCCTTTCTTTGGAAGATTCCCACATTTTTTTGTTTCAAGATGGAGTAGTAGAAAGCCAAAAACTTCTTTTCCAAAAATTATAATAGTGGTCTGCCCAAAAATTAGTCACTCCTAAATATATAACCCTTGAATTGAAGGGGTTATATTTTTAGGAGTGATTAATTTTTTGGG